GCACAAATGATTGGTAACTGGCTGACACACGGTTTAAAATGGAAGATGGTTTTTTTTATGCCTTTTATGTTATTGTTTGTTTGTGTTTGTTGTAAAAGTTAAAAAATTAAAAAAAAAAAAAGACAGTCTCTGTCATCAGTTTAAAATACATGATAGACAAATAAAAGAAGAAAGAAAAGAAGGGCACCATTTCCAAAAGATTTAGACCATAGAATTACAGCTGGGTTGGAAAAAGACTGTAGGGAGAATGGGTTACTGTACTGATTTTTTAATTTGTTGTTATTATGATTATGATTGTGATTATTATGATCATGACATTTACACCCAAGCTTTCTATTTATTTAAACACTGATAGTGGTTTGCAACAATAAAAGAATAGAAACTAAATATAAACGTTCTGAATGTGTCATTATACTGCATATTCCTCCAAGACAGTGAATTTGGGGGGGGGGGGCAGTATATTGGCTTGCCAGATAGACATGAGATTAGTTATTCTAGTTTGCACAACATACTTGGAGGATACATGTAGTAAAACTGACCTTTGACTGTGTTTGTGGGATACTGGTCAGAACTGACAAGATTAGTGATATATACCAGAGAGATGAAGCAGAAAATGCAGAGATTTTGAACTTGAGGGATACAGGCCAAAATTTGCCTCAATTGTGGCATGGGTACTACTAAGGCTGGTAAGGTAATTTATTCTTTATCTCATAAAATAATTACGTGAAAGCTTTGATTGACTTAAGCCATGATGGACAATATTCATGGGCCCATCTGTTGATGATAACAGCTTATACAATATTGCAACCTGGAATATAAGAGGCATAAGTGATGGGGATCATGAATTAATGTATGAAAAGAAACTAAGTGAAATTTATTGAAACTAATAGCACAAGGGAAGATGTAAGAGATCTCAATGAAAGTCTGATCTTGTGAAAGTGAAGCTGATGGATATATGCAGGAAAGTGGAGGTGTAAGATTTCGTATGAATGAATAGGTTAACATGTGTATCAGAATGTCTGAATTGTTATTATCTAGATTCTTGTAGTTCTGTATGAAAGTAGAAATGACTTTTTTGAAGACAGGTTGAAGACAGGCTGCATATTATACTACCTGTGAATGGTGATGATGGAAAAACCATTATGAATTTTGGGGCAAATTGTGAATGTGATCCTGGGGAAAAGTTATTCTTTCATCTAACATGAATGGATGGGTGTGAGCAAGAAAGTGATTTCTAAATAGAAATGAGAACTGCAGTTGTTTGCTGAGTATCTGTATAGAAAAAGATCTGTTTGTTTTGAACATATGCCATTAATGAAGATTGAGAAAACTAATGACAGATAGGAGATGAAACAGAAAACGTAGATATTTTCTCTTCCACAGATCAGCCAGGGCAATATATCTAGGATATTAATTTCTGAACCAGTCTAAGTCTAGTATTTAGCCCCACAGTTCGTAGATTTTTCTCAAATAGGCAAGTGCCATCATCCTCTCTCTCCTCCATTCTAACTCTCAAATTATGTCAGGCCTTCACCCTGGCTAGGTTGGCTGCCCTCCACAGTCCTGCAGGAGCATTTTAGAAACATTCCACTTCAGCAGTATATATCTCCATGTGGGAACAGCTCTGGGGAGTTCCTAAGCCATGTGTTCCTTTCTTGCTCTCTTTACAGGGAATCTAAGAAGACATTCATCTATCCCATCTTAAAGAAATGGATACCTTGATAGAGAGCATGATGCTTGTCTGTCACTTCTTCTATCTGACCAGACTATGATGTATCTTTTCAAATTGCCCAATTTTGTGCCTCTGTTTTGTGCCCCTGTTCTACTCATTTCACCTGTGACTGAAGATTAGTGCTAATCTTGGTGATCTCCATTGTTATTTGTATTATTGTTATTATATTAATTTTATTCTTATGTCATTTTATTGTATTTTAGGCCTACTTTTTGGTCTTATCAATAATTTTAGGTGTATGTGCTTGTAAGAGGTGTTTTCTGGCCTAACGGCCATAACGAAGATTTATTATTGTTGATCAGTCCGGGCTTTAACAATATTTCCAACAGACATTGCTATTTTTAAGGTGTTTCCTATAATAAACCATTTTTTTGTTCAAGCCATAACATGACATTCATTAGCCTGCTTGGGTTAGATTCCAATTCTTCAGGAATATATACATTGCTTCTTCTAACAAGTTGGAAGGCACACTAACTGTACTTTTACACTGTCTTGGCCAGCCTTGTGCAGCAGCAAACATTCAAAATCAGCAGATGGTCATCATAGAATCACAGTATTGTAGAGTCAGAAGGGATCACAAGCACCATCTTTTCCAACCCTTTGCAGCATGCAGGAATATCAATTTAACCATCCATGAGAGGTTGCCAGTAGCCTCTTCTTAAAAGCCTCCAGAGAAGGAGAACTCACAAGCTGCATAGGCAGATTATTCCACTATTGTACAGATGTTAGCATCTTTTCCTTACATTTAAACAATATTTAGATAGCTGCAACTATACCTGAAATTTCTAGTCCTAGTTTCTGTAGCTATGAAAAATAGTTCTCATCCACCTCTGTGTAGCTTCTGTTGATGTACCTGAGTACAGCTATAGTGTCTCCCCTAAATCTTCCTCTCTCCAAATTGAACATCCCAAGTTCCTTCAGCCTATCCTCATAAGGCAAGTCCTCACATCCCTGAATCATCTTTGTTGCCTTCCTCTGAACTCTCTCTAGCATATCACTAGCCTTTTGAAATGGGGTGCCAGAATAGAACACACTATTCTTTCAGATGAAATGTCTAGTCAGTGAGATAGGATTCCTATAGATTTCAGCCATACCATTAACAGTCTCTACTTCTCTCTGCCAGACCTCCACAATAAATGCCGGGCCACTGCTTTCACTCAGGATTACATCCCAGATAACTGATGTTTTACCTACAATTGATCTGCCATGAAAATGCAGGACCTTTAGGTTTGATTTTTTCGGTTAGGCTATAGCCAGAAAAGAAGGAAGACCAACCAATAACTACCCTGCTTCCCCTACAACAGCTACCATCTCTCCCCCAGTCTGAAGATTTTAATATTTAATCCAGGCCATGTTCCATTCCACACTCTCCCCCATCTTCCTGACACACCTGATTATACACAACCAAATGGTTATGCAGAAAAATAAATGGATTGGCCTACTGAAGGCATGACAGAATAGGCTATATATTGATGGTATTTTTAATGCAGAAAAAAAAGTCTGACAGTAATTTTAGTAGCTGCAGGCTCTGAAAC